AAAAATGAAATTAATTTACTCGGAATAATACATTCAAAAATTTTCGATAACACTTGATTGGTTAAACTGTTTTCCCTGTAATAATAAAGAAGGTGTTCTTTTTAAATTAATTCATCTTACAAATAAAAAATGCCGAATAGTTTGAATAAAATTAAATCAATCGACCTCACTTGTTTATCTGTTTCTGTTGGTTTTTCTTCAGTTTTATTGTCTGTCTCTTTCATTTCGTTGGCTTCATCGGCTATTTTGATTTTTGGCACATTAATTGTGAGATTCTCTGGTTGTTGTTGTTGTTGTTGGTGGTGTACGTCACGTTGTTTTGAAGGGTCCATTTCATCAGTTGGTTTTGATTTTCCATCAGGTACACTTAATTGTAATTCATGTTTTAATAATGGTTGATTGACATCATTATCTTGAGAAGATTTTGTCAATTCATCGTATTCTTCTGCATAACTATACAGAATGTCAATGGATTTCATTGCTGAGAAAAATAAAATCATTCCCAACCTGATTACTATGATAATTACGTAACAGATTATATTTATTCGAAATGCAATGAACTCAGAACCTTCGGTCTTAAGCGTGAACGCCTAATCTCTAGACCCGAGGAGCTAGCATCCACTGGTGTTCATGTCTAACTTTGATCAATTTTAGGGTATTGTGTAACCTCACTCTCACTGTCTTTGGTAGGTAACTGCCTACACCCTACACGGTTGAACTCCATAATATGTCAAACTCCACACAGTCTTTTGATGTGGTATACTTCTTACAATAAGTACAGTTTTATGATCATTCATTGTATTTCTAAATTTCAACTTGAGCGATTGGAAGTTGGTTTTGTAGATTGAAAGACTTAAAAAAGTTTGAACAATCGTTATTTGAGGTTAAGTCAAACTCAAATTGCAACTATCAATAGAACTTTACTTTGAAGAGTTTAATATAAACATAGATTAAAATCAAAGTAAATTGGAAAAGATACAATGGTGAGTAGTTTGTGCGTAATTCCATGAAAGTTCTTTACATATTTACGTCTTTCAGAGCTTTTCTGTTTGGGAAAATAATGTTAGATTAACAGTTAAATTACTATTTATTCATAATTATAACCATTATATGAGGTTCGGTTAAGGGGAATAGTAGTTTTGCTTCTGGTTTTGGCTTTTAGATTGACTAACTTATGAAATAACTCTACCTGGGCAGCATCATTGATGAGCAGAGTAAATCTGATGCGGATGTGAAGGCTCAGATTGGGAAAGCAAGGGCGGCATTTCTACAACTGAAGCACATCTGGAACTCAAAACAACTATCAATCAACGCCAAACTCACAATTTTCAGTACAAATTGTCAAGACATTTCCACTGTATGAAGTGGTATTCAGTGGACAGCTAGGAGTCAGCTGGACGATCTGGACTTCGTAGATGACCTGGCTCTTCAATCGCACACACAATAACAAATGCAAGAAAAGACGACCAGTGTGGCAACAGCCTCAACAACAGTAGATCTCAACATACATAAACGAAAAAGCAAAGTTCTCCGATTCAACATAACATGCGTCAACCAAATCACTCTTGATGGAGATGCCTTGGAGGACGTTAACACCCTTACATATCTTAGCAGCATCATCGACAACCAAGGTGGATCCGATGCCGATATGAGGGTGTGGATTGGCAAAGCAAGGGCTGCATTTCTACGACTGAAAAACATCTGGAACTAAAAACAACCATCAGTCAACGCCAAACTCATAACTTTCAGTACAAATCGTCAAGACATTTCTACTTTATGAAGTGAAAACTCGAAGAACAACGAAAGCTGTCATCCATAAGATACTAGTATTGATTAACAGTTTTCTTAGCAACATACTAAGAATCAGTTGGCTAGACACTATCAGCAACAACGTACAGTGGGAGAGAACAAACCAGATTCCAGCGGAGGTGGAAGTAATCAGAAAGGAGCGGTGGAAGTGGATAGGACACACATTGCGGAAATCTCCCAACTGCCTCACGACAAGCTCTCACTTGGAATCCCCAAGGCCCGAAGAAAAGAGGAAGGCTAAAAAATGCATTAGGCTGAGAAATGAAGACAGATTTGAGAAGAATGAACTGCTAGTTAGAGAATACTAGTTGGCAGCCTATGCTCCATTGGGGGTAATAGACGTAAATAAGTAAATAAGTAATATATACACTGTTTAAACTCAGTAATTTTCACTCATTCATCGAGTGTATTATTTTCAAGTTCATTGTTTTCTGTTTACTTTGAGCAGTTGACAATGAGTCATCATAGATTAGATAAATAAATAGTCAGATATAGTAAAAGCAACAATAGGCCGTAACACAATTCATAAACATCTGTTACAACCATTACTCTTTATATACACATACAACAGATAATCGATGAAATCAATTTACATGAATACTTCATCTTACCTTTACTACTTAATCCCGTGAGAACTACATCTTCATTAGCGATGGACATAGCACGTGATGCTCTTCTACATACAGTAGGATCAAACTGTGATAATCTTCTAGGTTGTCCAGGTACTGTTAAAAGTCCACCTGGTACCAGAGATGGTCTTACTGAACTTAGACGACGAGTTCCTGGCGCTACAGGTAAATTGAGTAGTGCTCTTTCACGATCTTCCTATCAGTTGACAAGAAATTTACAGTTTCATAACATTTTAAACGATACTGTTTCTTCAATAAAAACGTATTCATGCAACACTATGTTTATGCAATGTAAGTGAAATTATTTTAAACAAAGTTCTCAACTTTCGAGTTATATATATATACTCTGTTTCAGACTCCTTATCATTCAGGTGTATATTAATTAAGATCAACCCATGTATTCGGCTACATCAGTGTGTATTTACTTACTGTTGTGAAGCAGCTTACAGTAGTCGTACAGATCAATGCCTTTTGACATCGTGGTGAAGTTTCGTTCTCTGAGCTAGATGTTTTAATTGTGGAGCTTACATGGTTCCTATAACCAACATCATCAACACAAACTGCAGATAGAAGTGGAGTATTCAATTCTATCCACGTTATGATCCGTAACTTGTTCTATTCACCTGAGTCTTGATTAGTTGTCTTTCGAAATGCATCTCCAATCATTAATCTAAGTGGCTTTTGATAGGCGTCTGTTAAACAATCAATAATTCAATATTGGAACATTCTGTTAGCCTTGATCATGCTACCCCAACAGATTTATCCTTCACAATCATCAATATAATTAAACGATGCACATCAAAGGGACGTTTGCAATTCATATTTTCAACCCTGAACTCTGTATATATAAACTTCACGTTCAAGCTATCATTCTTCTACGGTTTTAACAACTGATTATTCATAGACGTTTTGTAAATAAGTCCTGATAATGTTTTTAACTGTTTTTTTAAAATTTTTAATTATGTATAATTATCATCTTCACATTTCAAATTTGTCATCTTTATCCTACTCTACACATTGACATAATGATTGAATCATTGTTGGACCACCATTAGAAACATGGAAACACTGAAAAGCCATTTCGGCCTGATACGGTTCATTCATCTTCAGTGAGCATCCACAACTCCTGTTACTCGCTAGGTTCAAACCCAGGACATTCAGTCTTGCGCGCGAACTCCTCACCTCCAGACCAATGGGGCAGCATCCAACGGTGTTAATATCTATCTCTGATCGATCTAAGGGTTTTGAGCGACCTAACCCAGTGTCTTCGGTAATTACTGACTACACCATACAGGGTTGAACTCCACTGGTCAAGTCTTCTAACTAGAACTCTGAGGATTTCCTTACGAAGCTAGTCGTTAGTGAGCACATTTTATGATTTTTTTAACTATAGAATTATGAAGATCATTGCTTTCACACACTGAAATAATCAATTAATCATTGTTAGACTACCATTAGAAATCTGGAAGCACTGTATGGCTGTTTCGTCCTGGTATGGTATTCATCAGCGCAAAATGAAGTTTGTGCTAATGATCCGTAGTTCTCTGAATAAAGTTTTCTTGTTGGATAGATTATAATCATCCAACTTTTGAGGACCAAATCGAACAATGCATGTATGATGACATATTCATAAAATAATCATTTGAAAAATTATGATGGAATGAATAACAGATGAAGTTATTTTGAAAAGAAAACAATACTACGGTTGTGGAGATTGTTGAATTTTATTGAAATCATGAATCAAATAATGTTAGACCATTATTTTAAACCTAAAATCACTGGACGGCGCATTTCTGTTGAGTTCCATATTAAGGGGACGAAACAGACTTTCAGGTTTCCAGTGATAGTCTAACATTTATCATTTCAGTTTGAACAAACAAACATTTTAGGTATAGTAATTTCCAACGATGAACTTGTGATAAAATAATAGGATTTATGAAACGTTAAAAATCAACTAAACTGTCGTGCCTCCAGGAATTAGCTGAGGTTCTTCCTCTTGCTTTGATCTAAAGATTTGATCTTTTGAAAAATCAATTTTTTGTCTGTGACTGTCTGTGTTCATTGATGTATATGTGTTAAAGTATCATGTTGCTTTACTGGTAGTCCATTTCCGGATGGGCGGTAATCATGAGTAGAGTTCTGTGATGTTTATCACAGTCGATGAAACCGATTTTGTTAATTATATTAAAATTATCTCCTTCACACAGTTAGAACATTCTCCTTGTCTAGAAAGGTGGTCAACGCTCTATGGTTACTTGGACCTAACCTCGTAAATTGATAATCTTGTTATGTGTTTACAAAACCTTCACAAAGACAAACATTTTCGTCGAAAACCGCAGATTATTTAATTCGATTTATTAAAGAGTCAGTATCATCAAAAGATTTACATAATACTTGTTTAATAGGAACGTGTTACATGATTTAAAAATCTATACTCATAATGTATGAATGAAGATTTATTTGTAAGACTCACTTTTTCAAGTTTCTTTTCAGCCCGATATTCAGATGTTAAGCTTAATATTTTCTCTGCCATGAAAAAGAAATATACACCGCCCAAAGCCACTAAACCTTTCATAATTGCTGTACGTTCACCATCTCCTTCGTCAGATGATGCGCCTTCATTCCCATGACCATGACCCTCACCACCGCTAACAGCCTAAATTTGAAAAAAAATCAATATATATCACTTAAATAATACATTGAAATCGAGAACTGATCAATGCTAATTCACTATTAGAAACCTGGAAACAATTAAAGTGCCATTTCATCCTAGTATGGGACTCATCAGCAGATCTTACCACCTAGATCCTAACTAACGCAAGCATAGTAGTAATAATAATTTTTGGAATCAAGAGTCCATCAATGTTATTTCACCTTTAGTAACCTAGGATCACCGGAAGGCTCTTTCGTCCTGGTATAAGACTCATCAGTTGTGTGCATCCATAACTGCAACTTTCGGGATTCAAATTCAGCACCTTCGGTCTCGCACGCAAATGCCGAACCTTTGGTATCTAAAGGTGTTGTAGTGAACGAGAACACAGGTGGGGCAACCGGATTGTATGTAACGAACATTACAGAGTTACTCAGTAAAATCGGAAAACCATATCGTGAATCGTTAATTTGCAAAATATCAGTCCATCATTATCGAACTGGACTGTTCCTGTTGTAAAACATCAATCCATTGTCACTATTCATGCGTTCGTTTCATACAAATTCCATTGTGTTCTAACTCTTCCTTTCTTGATCTTCCCTCATCTTCTGCTGCAAGACATTACGTTGACACTCACGTCATATACTACTTATAAGTAGCTCGCACCACATTGTTAATGTCGAACTTCGATCGATTCACAGTCTTGCGCAACTTCATCCACTTGTGGTGAGCGCTACTTATAAGTAGTATATGACGCGAGTGTAAACGTAATGTTTGGCAGCAGAAGATGGGGGAAGATCAAGAAAGGAAGAAGAGTGGGAACACAATGTAATTTGTATGAAACGCATGAATAGTGGTGAAATGTCAGACAATGGATTGATGATGTATTGAAGATTTGCAAATGAACAATTTACGATATGGTTTTCCTATTTTACTGAGTAACTTTGTAATTTTCGTTAAATACAATTCGGTTGCCCTCACCTGTGAGCACTGCTTCACACTCGAACGGGGCTGAACTTCACTAGTCACGACTTAGCACATAAACCTGGAGAAACTTCCTCACCGATCTAGTCACTACTAGTGAACATATGATAATCTGAATGATAGGATTGTGGAGATTGTTGAGTTACTACTTTATTGAAACCATGAATTGATCAATGTTAGACCACTGTCAGAAACCTCAGAGTACTAGATAGCTGTTTCATGCTGGTATGGGGCTCACCAGCAGTACACATAATAATAATTTATTAAACACTTCACAATGTTGACTAGTCAGCATCATAAAATTCAGTCAAACCGAAACACAAATTTTATCAAAGTATACTATAATTGAATATAATACTTTAACAGTATTAAACAGTAGCACTCTCAGGTATTCATTATACTAGTAATGATTAAAAATGTGTTTTAGTGAAGTTTTCATTTTATTACATAAAAAAAACAACATCATGATTAAACATTTTTTTTTATGTTCCGATTTCTTTATGAATCATGTTGAGTGAATTTATGAATCAGTTTAGTTTTTATAATTATTTCATTGAAACAATAAAACAGTTAGATTTTATTTTATTATAATAAATAAATACTAGTTTTTAAATAACTGAAACGTGATTAGTGATAGCTGAGGTAGAGATTTTGATTTTTAAAAAAATGAGAAAATAGAGTTGATTTAAGAAAAAATACGATTCAATTGTGCTACTTGAAGCGGAAACTTAGAGAACTACAGGTATCGGTTGACAGTTTCCTGTGCAAGATACGGAGCATTCATTGGCCAGACAGCATCAGCGACAATCCATAGTGGGAGAGGACAAACCAGATTCCAATTAAGGGATAAATTAGGAAGAACCACTGGAGTTGGATAGAATATAGATTGAGGAAATCATTCAACTACATCATCTAAGCGTTAACTGCATCGGATCAAGGAATACATTAGGCCAATAATTGGAATGAACATCGGTTGAGTAGAACTGAAGGACAAAGTCGGTTGGAGAATGCTGGTCGGTAGCATATGCATCACATTAGGAGTAATAGGCATAAGTAAATGAGTAAGTAAGTTGTTGTGCTATGCATGTCAAACAATCTGGAATAGCGCAAATACAACACCTGTTTTAGATTTACTTCATCTACTCACTTTCTTTTCAAAATTCATAAAAGGTATCAATTTCTTCAAAGCATGCTCCTCCTGGAGCCCCTCTGGGGTCAATGTTGATCCCGAACCCGGATTAAGGGAGAAGGCTGGGTATGGGGTTTAGCGACTCCATCCAGTCGAAAACCAACTTACCAAGATAATGGTAACCAGAATATATTATTCAAACCATTTCAACTCTACCCTGGGAGTTGAAAGGTCTTCTTACATAAGATACAATATGTTTTAATACAGTTCTCTGTTATAGTTTACTAGCTTTATCGATTTGTGCAATATTACTTATGTCATCTACAAACAAGAAACATTTGAACTTAAGCACATTTAGTTACATAATGGTGTGATTGCATTCAAACGAGGCTAATATTGAACTAAAATCTTTAGTGATAATTTTTTTTAAGGACACACTGTCTACAAGCCAGCATAAAAACAGTAACTAACAATTTAATGAACTGCTGCTTTTCAGCACACTCAATTGAAATGATGGTTTCAAATTTCGAAACTTTATTCACAAGTTAACTGTATGGTGAACAGCATACTTAAACTTTTATTCATTAACAAGATTTAAAAGTAACACCTTTCATAAAAATAAGACCTAATCTAAGCTATTGATATATAGTAGTATAGTATTTCAACTCGTTTTTTTTGAAAAATTTTCACAGCGTTTTTTAAAATTTTTTGTAATACTTAAAATTTCCTTAAACATTGATTGATATCAACTCAGAATCAAGTAAAATTAAATGACAGATATATATGTTCAACCTTGTCGGGTGTAGGCAGTAACTACCAAAGACAAATGGGTGAGGTCGTGCAAAATCCCTAGATCAATCAGAGTTAGACATTAACACCGTTGGATGCCTGCCCGGGTTCGAACCCTGCGAGGAGCAGGATGAGTCCCATACCAAGACGAAACAGCCGTGTTTCAGTGCTTCCAGGTTTCTAATGGTGGTCTAACAATGATTGATTGATGATTTCAAAGGTGTGAAAACGCAAAAACCTCCAAAACTGTGCCCCAAGATATATATATGTGCAAGGTTTTATGAATATCGAAGACTCTTTCATAAAAGTTTTTAATTGCGGAATCATCCTTTAATTTGTATTTGAGAAGAACTTTGGGAAGATCTATATACAAGAGAAAAACTAGCAAGTGCCACATGGTTCCGTCAACATGTGGAACTAATGTAAGTTTGATAATATCCACCGCAATAACAGAAAATGACGGTCTTTTTGCTCAAAGATTATTTTTGGTTCAATGAACACCGATAAGTTCATTCATTCATATTTTTTTTGATCAACTGATTGAAAAATGCAATCAAAAATCAATTTTTAAGAATTGCATTTTTATCCTTGATATATAATGCAAAGATTCATGTCTCCAATATTACCAAAACGTTTTTTTGATGAAAAGGGAGTAAAGGTTATGTTTTTTTGTCCCCTTATAGTTAGTGATATATTTACTTAATCCAATTGAATTTGCATTTTCAAAAATTAAATCAATTGTTTATAAGAAGATCATTGGGAAGAGGCGATTTTAAGAATCATTTACAAATCTTATATATACATATTAAATTCTGTAAATCAATTAACCACAAATGAATTTATACAAGGTTATTCAAGGCATATACGTCGTAATTGTTTATAAAAACGATTGTTAAAAGAAGACTTTAATTTAAAAAAAATAGTATTCTTTTTTATAAGTTAAAGAAAAAACGTTTTAAAAAACGCTGTGGTTTTGGTCGAAATACTATATATCTCTCACGTTGAAGTGTTCATCTGTATGCCACGTAATGCAAATCTTCTATTTTAAATCACAAAAAAAGAGCAAATTATTGATCAGTGTAATTCTATGTCCTGACAATATTGATTTCTTTGCATTTTATGTATATATATTCATTTTCTTATATAGAAAGCATTCGATAGCGTGGACAGGACAACACTATGGAGGCTTCTTCGATGAAACGACGGCGTGCTTGAGAAGATAGTTAACATCATACGGAATTCTTATGATTGATTAAACTGCAAAATCGTGCACGGAGGTAAGCTGACAGGCTCGTTCGAGCTGAAGACCGGTGTCAGGCAAGGTTGTTTACTCTCACCCTTTCTCTCTATCCTGGTGATCGAATGGATTATGAAGACGTCAACATCTGGAGGGAAGCACGGTATTCAGTGGACAGATAGGATGTAGCTGGACGATCTGAACTTCGCAGATAACCTGGCTCGTCTATTGCACATGCAACAACAAATGCAAGAGAAGACGACCAGTGTAGCAGCAGCCACAGCAGCAGTAGGTCTCAACAAAAGCAAAATTCTCCGATGCAACACAACATGCACCAACCCATTCACTTTTGATGGAGATTCTTTGGAGTACGTTGAGACCTTTACATATCTAGGCAGCATCATCGACAATCAAGGTGGATCCGATGCAGATAAGGGGTCGCGGATCGGCTAAGCAAGGGCTGCACTTCTACAATTGAAGAATATCTGGAACTTCAAACAAATATCAATCAACATCAAAATCACAATTTACAATACAAATGGAGCGGAAACTTGGAGAATTACAAAAGCCATCATCCAGAAGGTACAAGTATTTATGGACAGTTGTCTACGCAAAATACTTCCGATTCGTTGGCCAAACACTATCAGCAACAACTTGCTGTGGGAGAAAGCAAACCAGATTCGAGTGGAGGAGGAAATCAGGAAGAAGCGGTGGAAGTGGATAGGACACACACTATGATAAGCACCTAACTGCGTCACAAGACAAGCCCTCATATGGAACGCTCAAGGCAAAAGGAAAAGAGGAAGGTCAAGGAACACATTACGCCGAGAAATGGAGACAGACATAAGAAGAATGAACAAAAATTGGACAGAACTAGAAAGGCAAGCCCAGTACAGAGTTGGTTGGAGAAAACTGATGGGCTTCATTTGGGGTAACAGGCGTAAGTAAGTAGGTAAGTAAGTAAGTAAGTAAGTAAGTAAGTAAGTAAGTTATATAGACTACTTACATGTGGAAGTAAATGTAGCATTGCATCGCCGGTTAAAGTTCCAACAGCTAATGCAACTAAATATTGTATCACTTGATTGAAAAATACTTTTTGAACTAATGGTACTACACCAACTCCTAATAGTCCAACAGCACTTATGACAAATATTGAAATCAATGAAGCAATCCAAACTACAAAATACGAAAAACAATAACAACAACAACAAAATGAAAACAAAATTAAATGTCCAATTTGATCTTGTTGACTGTTTACTATTAGACAATGAACAAAAATTGAAAAGGTAGGCCTAGGACAGAGTAGGTTGGAGAATGCTGGTCGGCCACCTATGCTCCATTGGAGGTAGCAGGCGTGAGTAAGTAAGTAAGTAAGTAAGTAAGTAAGTAAGTAAGTAAGTAAGTAAGTAAGTAAGTAAGTAAGTAAGTAAGTAAGTAAGTAAGTAAGTAAGTAAGTAAGTAAGTAAGTAAGTGAGTAGGTAACACTATGAGTTAGTATTTGTTAGATAAACTTATAAATCTTGTGTCCCTACAGCGAATTCGGTAGTAAATCCAATTTCTTCTATATCGCTGAAACTACTACTACTGTATAACACTCATGTGATTCTAATTTACAGTAGATTGAATAAATAATCTGATTGACTTGAACTTATTGGACTTACAAATTTATCTGCATAGATTTGCATAGATTATTATTTCAGTTAAATGTGTGTTAGTTTAGAAATCCGATAAAAAAACACATACTAGAAAAAATGAGGATCAGTTTGAGAAGTAATAGTGTGGTGCGCGCTACTTATAAGTAGTATATGACGCAAGTGTAAACGTAATGTCTAGCAGCAGAAGATGGGGGAAGATCAAGAAGGGAAGAGTAGGAACACAATGGAATTTGTGTATGAAACGTATGAATAGTGGTGAAATGTCAGACAATGGATTGATGATGGATTGAAGATTTGCAAATTAACCGTTTACGATATGGTTTTCCTATTTTACTGAGTAACTTTGTAATTTTCGTTAAATACAATTCGGTTGCCCTCACCTGTGTTCTCCTTTACTACAATAGTTCAATGATATACAGTCAATTTTAAATATTGACGCTACTTGTTAATAATTCAAACATCGAAACACTATATATAATGAACTATGGAGTCATGACAGATAAAAATGATGTGTGAAGAATGTAGATTTTAATTAATTAGAGCAACTGTCTATTCATTTCTATTTCATTTTCAATCAGATTAGTTTGGATATTTTGTGATACATATGTTATTGAAAATTGTACATGACATTTAGGTGATACCAATCAACTTTTTGAAGTTTGCAAAAAAGCAATTATGTGGAAAAATCAATAAGCTAACCTTTCGGTCGAATATTCCAGAAATTGTAAGCGTTTAATATCTGAAAATAATATAGAGAGAGAAAATAAAAAGCAGCCTAAATGTAAATTAAATTGTGTAGTGTGCATTTTATCATTTGGCATATACTAGAAACAATGCAGATTTTTGATAGTCTCTAGAAAATATTTGCTGAAATGGACTGATAGGACTTTATACCTATATAAGTAGCTTTCCCCTACCAAATTTTATCCGATTTGACTCTGGGAGTAACTGTTTTTGGTTTTATGATCATGATGTTTGAGAAACTTCTTGTGTTATAGGGAAAAAACACTGTACAGTTCTTTGAAATTGAAATTGAAAAACGCCAATCATTCAAACACGTTGATTATCCTGTTACTCCCAGTGGAGCATAGGCCGCACACCAGTTTCCTCCAACCAACTCTGTCCTGCGCTTCTCTATCCAGTTCTGTCCAATGTCTGTTCATTCATCTCATATCTCTCTGTATTTCTCGGCGTAATGTGTTCCTTGGCATTCCTCTTTTCCTTTCACCTTGAGGGTTCCAAGTGAGGGCTTGTCTCGAGACGAAGTTCGATGCTTTTCGTAGTGTGTGTCCTATCCAACTCCACCACTTCTTCCTCATTTCCTCCTCCACTAGAATCTGGATTGTTCTCTCCCACAGTTCGTTGTTGCTGATGGCGTCTTGCCAACGGATCCGACGTATTTTGCGTAGACAACTGTTAAGGAATACTTGTATCTTCTGGATGATGCCTTTCGTAGTTATCCAAGTTTCCACTCCATAAAGTAGAACTGTCTTGACATTTGTATTGAAAATCGTGATTTTGGTTTTGGTTGAAAGTTGTTTGGAGTCCCAAATATTTTTCAATTTAACATCTGGAAGCTGTTAAATTATACTTCTTGAATCATATCTTTGATCCCTAATATTCTCCGTTACCGCTAATTCTTCTACTATCTCCACCACTCAAGGAATATGAACTGACTGCTGCGTCTCTTTGCTAATGTGGTATACAACCTGAACTGATGTACGCACGTACGAAGTTCAATGTTGTAATTGATTGGCTGACTGGAATCAATGAAAAGTCAGTAATATTTAAACAATAGTTTATTATGCTTTAGAGTGATTTAATTGAAGACTTGAGGTTTATTTAACTGTTATACGAATGCTTTGCATTTATATTTGATCATGGGTATCACTACTTTTAATTAATGTCAAAACTTAATATCGCTTTACCTCAGTCGGTTAAGTTGACTTTTAATTATGATATAAATATAAGTATTATCGTACAACAGAACTCGAGGACACCTGAATCCCTATTTTTTTAAGAAATATTTTACGTAAAATAATAGCCAATATAATATACTTGCTATCAGTGGATTTTTCAATAAAATCAATCTTCAAGCTTCGTAATATAACGAATAATTATTTTCTTGGAATCATAAATCGTGACCATTGTGAGACCACCAGTAGAAACCTGGAAGCACTCGATGGCCGTTTCGTCATAGTGTGGGACTCATCAGCTGTAAGCATCTACTACCCCTCTCGAGGGAATCAAATACAAGACCTTCGCTTAACCTCTAGACCACTGAGCCGGCATCCAACGATATTAATGACTAACTTTGACTAGTCTAAGGATTTTGCACAACTTCACCCATCGACTTCTGTCTTTAGTAGTGCCTACACCTGATAGGCTTAAATTTCACTGGTCACGGTAAGTTATAATGAATATCGTAATTATTTTCACTATGCAAAATGAAATGTCTTTCTACTTGTGTTAATTCAATAATATATAACTATTAATTTTCAAATGAAATCACTTGTTCAATTTACCGCATTTCCAACTTGTGAATTGTTTTTTGAATTAGTCACCATTCTGTATAATTCCATACACATTAATTGGAAATTTTGTTCAGTCTTGTTAGTATGATATATTTTAATGTTATCATACCAACCTGGTTCCGGTGCATTTGTAAGTGCCTAAATAGAAAGACAAGCAAAGAATAGAAAAGACAAGATCAATCAATCGATCGATCGATCAATTAAAGCTATTTTGTTTGATATTTGCACCTTTACAGTGAAACTATGGGTGGCATTTTATTAAAATTGAACATAAAATGTGTTTTTAAAAATTGCTGAACATTATAAACTAAGCTGACAGACTCGTTCGAGGTGAAGACCGGTGTCAGGCAAGTTTGTTCACTCTCGCCCTTTCTCTTTATCCTGGTCATCAATCGACTGGATTATGAAGACGTCAGCATCTAGAGGGAAGCACGGTATTAAATGGGCTGCCAGGGTGCAAATGGACGATTTGGACTTCGCAGATGACCAGAATCTCCAACTGAACACGCAACAACAAATGCAAGAGAAGACGACCAGTGTAGCAGCAGCCTCATCAGCAGTAGGTCTCAATATACATAAAGGGAAAAGTAAGATTCTACGATACAACAAAACATGCGCAAAACAAATCATTCTTGATGAAGATTATTTGGAGGACGTTAACACTTTTACATATCTTGGCAGCCTCATCGACAACCGAGGTGGATCCGATGCAGATGTGAGGTCGCGGATCGGTAAAGCAAGGGCTGCATTTCTATAGTTGAAAAATATCTGGAACTCCAAACAGCTTTCAGCCAAAACCAAAATCAGGATTTTCAATACAAATGTCAAAACAGTTCTACTGTATGGAGTGGAAACTTGGAGAACTACAAAAGCCATCATCCATAAGATACAAGATACAAGTATGAACAGTTGTCTACACAAAATATTTCGTATTCGTTGGTCAGACACCATCAGCAACAATGTGCTGTGGGAGATAACAATCCAGATTCCAATGCAGGAGAAAATCAGAAAGAAGCGGTGGAAGTGGATAGGACACACACTTCGAAAAGCATCTAATTGCGTCACCAGACAAGCCCTCACATGGAACCCTCAAGGCAAAATGAAAAGAGGAAGGCCAAAGAATACATTACGCCGAGAAATAGAGAAAGATATGAGAAGAATGAACGAAAACTGGAAATAACTAGAAAGAGAAGCCCAGGACAGAGTTGGTTGGAGAAGACTGGTGGGCGGTCTATGCCTCGTTGGGGGTAACAGGTGTAAGTAAGTAATATACTTAGCAATGTACTATGCAAATGCAGACGTTTCCTACGTATATTTGCCAGAGGGTTTAATTAAAGCAGTTAACTACAAGCTCAGAAATGATGTGCCCTACGAAATCAAAATATGACATCAGGTATAACCTGTTGATTTGGATAGCTCAAGTGAAGATATGATATCTGAACTTCACATATGACCTAGATCTTCTATCCCACACACAGACTTAAACGCTGATGTAGACTACCAGTGTAGCACTAGCCTCTTCTACAGGTCTCAGTGTGCACAAGGGTAAAAGCAAGATCGTCCGATACAACAAAGCAAGCATCGATCAAATCAAAATTTGATGGAGAAGCTATGGAATATGTGGGAACTTTGCCGAACCTCGTCAGCATCATTGATAAACAAATCGCGTCTAATGGGAATATGAAGACATGGGTTAACAGAGCGAAGATACCATTTCCACAGGTGAAGAACATCTGCAACTCAAAACACTTGTCAACAAACACCAAAGTCCCAATTTTCAATACAGACCTCAAAACAGTTATACTGTATGGATCAGAAACTTGGAGAACTAAGGCAGCCATCTTCCACAGGATACAGATATTTTTGAACAGGTGTCTACGCAAGATACTGAGGATGTGTTGGCTAGACACCATAAGCAATAGCCTACAGTGCGGAAGAACAAATCACGTTCCAATTGAGGATAAAAAAATTAAGAAGAAGCGCCGGGGGTAGTTAGGACCCACATTACGGAAAGCATCTAACAAGACAAGCCCTCACCAGTAATCCTCAAGAGCGACCGAAGAACATTTAACGTCGAGTATTTGAGGCATAAATGAAAAGAATGAACAGCGATTGGGTAGAACTGGAAAAGAAGGCCCAGGATAGAGTAGGTTGGAGAATGGTGGTCGGTGGCATTATGCTCCATTGAAGGTTATATGTTAACAGAATAATTCCTAATCTACATAAATAAATCGGCATAGCCGCGTATTTCTAAATGACTTATATTTGTCTGTTATTCAATAACCTTTAATGTCACAATGATGTTTTAAAATCAAACGACTTATCATTTCCAAAAGTAATGGAGATAGACGATAATGAATACACTGAGAAAATACATCTTGAAACTTTAATAATTCTAAAGAGATCACAAAATAAAATTTATGTTTTCTATTTTGAAAAACATTAAATACATATACTACTCAATAACATAACATTCAACATTTATTAGTTTAGTCAAGCATAATAATATCATTTTCTTTTTTAAAGGGAGATTTTTATCAAAATGTTTAGTGTAGTTTTTAACGTTATTTTCACAAGGTAATGTAAAAATGGGCAACTATTTCAAATGAGGAAAATACTAAACACAAATAGAAATTAGTAAGTAGTATGTAGAAATAACATAACAAGCATTGAGGTCCGAATATATTAACCACATTGTCCAAAGAATCACATATCAAATCATCAACAAAATAAAATTTAATACTTAATAAATAGACTTACTGAAAACTCTGAATATTTCGAGTACAGCACACTTTTCAATCATATCCTTAAAATTCCAACGTTTCAAAACAGAATAAAAATCAATGTTCACAGTTGTAATAGCGTAGTATTCAATGAATTTTTTCGGGTTTTTTTCAAAAGTAACCTTTTTTATTTTTTTTAAAGAGATCTATAAGTAAGCCATCATAGTGAATGTCCTCTTAAAACACAAATCCTTTTTCCCATTCAATTATCAAATACTAGGCAGCAATCTTTCACAATGGATGATTGTAATGTTTGCTGTTTTGAAAGTCAATAATTTCGATATTTTAAACAAGGTTCAATTAGTTTTCATTGATTACTTGACAATTGTTTATATTAATAATACATGCTTTGCGCGCGTACTATGAAATAAATGAATGTTCTATGCAGCATTTATATATATATATATATGTATATATATATATATATATATATACGTATATATATACATATAATTTACAATTCTGTCACTATTTCATGATTGGCATAAAGGAAGAAGGTAAACATTTTATTTGTGAAAAAAAACTTCTAAATACCTCGATTACATTAAGCGATAATATTATGTCTCTCATCTATTGATTTTGTACAATATGTACATTTACAAAAAAATAAATGCAGTGACATTAAAAAAAAGATTGAAAAATAGTTAAACTGTTGAAAAATAACAAATGGAAATAAAACACACATGTTTCAAATGTGTTCATAGTATAGTGTCTCTAAAATGTATATTATTATGCCTTTGATGCAGTTTACTTGATCACTTTTTCACTGATGATATACAGGTTTAATTGTTGTAATCAAATTAGTTGGTCTGTACAATGTGATGATGAGTCATATTTTGAAATGGAGTATGCGCAACAATGGAATAATTGTGTGGTGCGCGCTACTTATAAGTAGTATATGACGTGAGTGTAAGATGGGGTAAGATCAAGAAAGGAAGAGTGGGAACACAATGGAATTTGCGTATGAAACGCATGAATAGTGAAATGTCAGACAATGGATTGATGATGGATTGAAGATTTGCAAATGAACCGTTTACGATATGATTTTCCTATTTTACTGAGTAACTCTGTAATTTTCGTTAAAATATATATATATATATATATATATATATATATATATATATATATATATATATATATATATATATATATATATATATATATATATGTTAGAAAATATTTAGCTGTTTAACTCTGATCGACTAGAATTTCATTATTCAATGTTTGATATTCTTTGCGCCTGTATTCACTTCTAGTTCCTGAGTATGTTTAAAGGTGACCTAGCCTATCTACAAAAGCTTGTAACTCTGTTCGACAGCGTATTTAATTGTAAATACATCACAGTCCTACAGGAAGTCAGATGCAGCCCAGACAGATCAGTGGTAATGTCTCTGTCTGTGAAGTGAGGTAACACGGGATCGGTAGCTCCCGGGAGCATTAGTTGCCTCAAGGTTACTGGTAGACGTTAATGGCGACAGCAAAATTGCACGAAATCTAGGTCTATGGTTTCCCTAATCACTGCCTTGTATATCGACATAGTGTACACGATGTTAAGTCACCTAGATGAGCGGCCATGGTTGATAGAATTCGATTAGCATTGAGAAGTACATGACACTCATGACACTGATCACTGCTCAATGATCGGTCAATTGTCAATATGTTTCCTCTTATTTCAGTCAAAAAATAATAAGAAAGTGTTTAAAAATAGTATCATTAATTGATTTTCATCAATATACTTAAGTAATGATTATTAAAAATGCAGTAAGCAATGTGTCATCATGCTTACAAAAGTATTTTCATTCAGATCAAAGATGATTGAGATATTGGTTAATCATATAACAGGCACGCATAAAAAACTAAGAATTCTTATAAAATTTAATACGTTTTTTAAGCTAACTGTATGAACAGTATCAACTTGCAAACTTGTTCATCTACATTTCTAAAAACCGCAATATCATTTGGTATTTTAGATCAGATTTAAGTATGAATCAAAGATGATGCATTGTAAGCTGAGATGGCGGAGAAAATTTGTAGCTCAGTTGGATGATTAATGGTGAAGTTTCGTTCTCTCAAAGCTGGATGTTTTAGTTGTGGAGCTTTCATTGTTCTTCTACCGAACAACATCATCGCCACAAACTTCACAGACAAACATTGGATGACGAAACCGATCAAAGAGAGAGATACAATCAAAATAAAGGAGTAGAAAACTAATGGTCTGAGATCGATAACAATCAATAAACACCAAAGTCAACAGAAGAAGTTACAGGTCGAACGTGGAGAAATTCGAAGTTTGTACTAACGATGATGCTGTGTTCAGAAGAACAATGAAAGCCCGTAAACCAAAATATCCAGCTCAGAGAAAGGAAGTTCATGACCATTGTAGATTGATGTACATCGAGTTATTTTGAATATCTTTCTATCTAATTGTTACAAAACAATGACCAGAACTGTATATTAGTCAAATTAAATGAAGAAAGAGATTTTCATATAACTTTATCGTTTTTTAACTTAACGCTGTATAGATTGACTTAAATATTATGGAACCATAACTAAACTCATGTCTTGCTGCGAAATTAGTTGGGTTTTGTTTACTCATGAGTATCGCTGCTTGAAGTCACTTGTCAAGCAGGTAGTTTAATGCAATAAGTACAAAATATACAAAAATATGTTTTTCTCTTCGAAATCAGAAATTGATCAGTGTTAGACCACCATTCGCAACCTGGAAACATTGAAAGACGACCGTTCCATGGATGCTCACTGCTGATGGGCGGCCACATACCAGGACGAAACGTCCGTTTTCCAGTGCTTCCAGGTTTCTAATAGTGATTTAACATTGATCGGTTTTATGATTGCAAAAGTTCTGGATTGTCGAACGTGTAAATCTAGACTTAAATATATATTATGTCTGTATTTATATTCCCTGTAAATAGAAAAGTGTTCTCAATAATCACAACCAAGTCATTTTTCCTAAATTTTCCAAGAATATTTGTGTTTAAAAGTAATCTAACTAACACAGCTTGATAAACAACTCATATTATTATTATCAACGAGTACACATTGTGTAGACTATGGATGCAAAAATCTCATCTTCAGATTTCACATCAGTAGCTAACTACTGTAAACCAGAAAGTAGCTGACAGACATTTTAGTCCTAGGCTGAGATTCAGTAGACAATCAAAATACATCTAGAGATTATTTGGAGTGAAGGTTCCATGACGATATCTTAACGTTAAGGTTAGGTGTTTATCGTCCAGCGCCATTAATAGTTAGCTAGCTTACTTCTTTCTAACCTAGCTGAACTTCATTGATCAGAGGTTTCTCGCTAAAACTCAGAGGATTACACATTGAAACTTATAAGTAGTATTCATATAATAAAACCGAATGTGGGAGAAAACAAAAAGGATTCTAACAGAGGAGGAAATTAGAGAAAGGTTCTGGAGGTGGATAAGAAACACATTTAGAAAATCACCTGATTACGTCACAAAACACGCCCTCACTTGAAATCGTCAAGGTCAAAGGAAAAGAGGAATAACAAAGTACGCATTATGCCGAAAATCGGAAGCAAACATAAAAAGCATGAACAGCAATTAGATAGAAGTTAAAAACGAAGACCCAGGACATCAGAATAGGTTGGAGAATGCTGATCGGTGGGTGGCTTATGCTTCATTAAGCGCAACAGGCTTACATGTAAAAAAAACATCCTATTAAAGATTGTTAATAAAAGATCTACTTGTGTAGTAGTAAGTTTTTATTGCTGATATCTCTATCGGAATAATTTTCTTCGGTTGAACAAAAAATGCATGACAAATTTTGACCACATGTATGTATGGTGCCACCCAGATAGATTTGAAAAATATATTTCATTTTTTTAATCGTATTTTAATGAAATTAGTCACGTAAACTTACAAATTATCTACTCTTTTCTATTGAATTAAACAAAATTATTCAAAAGCACGCCAAATCAATGAAACAATTAAAACAAAACTATTCATAACATCAACAATCAATTACTTACAGTATTTAAATGTTTATTTAAATGTAACAATAAATGTGGAATATCAAATGCTTTATTTAATGACTGATGTGATGATGATTGAAGATATTGTGTACACCATACTGTAGCATTTTGTTCAGCTTCAATAAGAATAGTATTATGCATGATAGTTGAAGGAAAGTTAGTGAATACAATCAGGATCAATAAAGTAATTAACATATTTTTACAAATCATAGTTTAGAATGATTACTTGGTTTGTTTTTTAAAAAAAAATCCAAATTAGGCTTTCTTTTTTAAGAATTCAATATGGATAAAATTAAAAACATTCATCAATGTAGGAACATTCATTGAACTAAGCGGTACATGATTCAAAATTCAATAGTTGTTGATGATTAATGCG